CTAGTCCCAGTGAAGCTCATCTGATGCCCTGCCGTTTAAGTTTCTCTACTCGACACAAGGGTCTCTATATCCCCTCACCCTCCCCTTTACCACCTACCCAAACCCCCACACAGACAGCTTCCCAAAGCTTCCCAGACAACGTCAAACGTCAAACTCCGCCCTGAGCCAATCTGGAGCCGAGGGAGCTCAGTTGCCCACCCAGCTCGTCCCCTTCTTGGGTCCACCCTAACCCACCCAGCAGCAGCCCGACTCAGCGCCTCCTGGGGCAGCCTCGCCAAGCCCAGAGGCCTCCAGACCCTTGATCCTTCCGGGAGAACCTAGACTTAGCTCTCCCACCCCCACCGCTCCTCACTCCTCCCATCTGCCCGCCCCCCCCCGAGCTGCAGGAGGGCACCAGAGATCTCGGGGCGGGGCATGCAAGGACCAGCTATGGCCTGGGGCGACCGGGTGGGCGCGGCCACGTGCGGCGACTCACCGCCCAGCTCCCCTAGCTCCATCTCGGCCCCTCAGGCACTTCCGGGCTGGAGGCCCCAGGGTCGCAGACACCTGAGGTCCCTCTCCTTCCCCGCTGCCGTGGCCCGGGAGCATTGTGGGAATTGTAGTCCGGCCTGTTTAGGTTCCCGCCCTCCGCCCCGGGGATCCAAGTCCGCGGCTGGACCAGCTGCTGTTCCTGGTACCCGCAGATTCCCGATGGCCCACGAGGACGACCCTGGGGGTTGTGCTTGTCCACAGAGGTTTGGTCAGCAAGAAGAGCCTCCCGCTCCGCCGCTGGCTGCCGGGGCATCTGTCACTCCCGACACCAACGTCAGCCTGCAGCGCGTCAGAGCCCCGGCGTTGGTGATGCAGTGAGATGAAAGCTCTAGCAAGCTCAGGTGGCCGCTAGCCGGACCTCTCCTTCTGTCACAGTAGACGTCAGATACAGCTTGGTTTTTTAAACTGACTCTGTATCCGCGTAGGTTTGTCTGCATCACTTGTTAGGGAGAGGACCTGACCCCAGCTGTCTCCTTACCGGGCCTCTCCTCCTTTGCCCCTTCGGGATTGTAAAATTGGCATAGACTTTGGAACAGAGCACACATCCTAACTAAGGGCTCATGTAGGCTCATCAGCTACATAATCTCTGGTGGGTTATTAAGTCTCTGAACAAGTATAATTCTTATAGGTCAGTTGTTGTTTTTGTTTGTTTGTTTGTTTTTCGAGACAGGGTTTCTCTATGGCTTTGGAGGCTGTCCTGGACCTAGCTCTTGTAGACCAGGCTGGCCTCGAACTCACAGAGATCTGCCTGCCTCTGCCTCCCAAGTGCTGGGATTAAAGGCTTGCGCCACCAACGCCCGGCCTTATAGGTCAGTTGTAAGGAAGACATTTGATATTTTATTAAATAACAATGGCAACTGTGTAAAATACAAGTCACTGTATTTCGCATGCCTCGTGTTAGTGCATTTTCTTCACCCAGACCTAAACTGAGAAATTGGCTGAGTATGGTGGCATATCCCTGTAATCCCATTGACCTGGGAAGACTAAGAGTTGGAAACTACCTTTGGCCACCTACAGAGACTCTGTCTCATCCCCCAACCTCTACAAAAAAGTGTTTCTGCATAGAGATAGCACCGTGACAGCTAATCTCTGTGGATTTTTTTCTTACTCCTCTGACTCCAACAGTCACAGGTATTTTTGAATTGTGGATTTTATAGATCAGTTTTTGCTGGGGAGTTTGCACATGCATGTGTGTATATGTGTGTGATGCATGCATGTGAATGTACACACATACAAGATTTATTTGTCTCTGTTCCCCTCTGCTAGGGTAACAAGCATTGGAAGCCATGACTGGCTTTTGACATGAATGCTGTAGAGTCAAATTGAGGTCCTCATGTTGCAGAAGAAGTCCCTAACTATTAAAAAAATTATTATATTTGTATGGATGATTACAGATAATCTGTAATCGCACCATATGCATGCCTGGTGCCTCTGGAGGCTGGAAGGGGACACTGGATCACCTGGTACTGGAGTTAAAGGCAAAATAGGCAGTTACTGGCGTTATAGAAGATACAATGTGAAGACAGGCCAGGCAGTGGTGGAGCATGCCTTTGGGAGGCAGAGGCAGGCAGATCTCTGTGAGTTTGAGACCAGCCTGGTCTATGAGAGCTAGCTCCAGGACAGCCTCCAAAGACACAGAGAAACCCTGTATCAAACAAACAAACAAAAAAACCAACCAAACAAAAAAAAAACAATTTGAGGACAGGATCACCCCTTCTGTCTGAGCATTGGTGAGGTGAGAACTCTTTAGTGGTTGACTGCTTTGCTTCTCTGATCTTCAGAATTAACACCAAGATATCTGTCTCTGGGTTTTTATCTTTATTTTATTTTTTATTTTTTGTTTTCCGAGACAGGGTTTCTCTGTATTGTTTTGGAGGCTGTCCTGGAACTTACTCTGTAGACCAGGCTGGCCTCGAACTCACAGAGATCTGCCTGCCTCTGCCTCCCGAGTGCTGGGATTTTATAAAGGCGTGTGCCACCAACGCCTGGCGGGTTTTATTATTAATACCAAATAGTATTCATGTTACAGTAGAGCATTTACCTAACATGTTTAATAAGGTCCTGTAGTTCAATCCTAGGACAAGAAAAAAGGGGTGGGCGGGGCCTGTATCAATGGTAAAATGACCCATTTGAGACAGTTATTGGCAACCATGTTAATTAAAAGTTTTAAGTTTTTGGGCCAGGTGGTGGTGAATGTCTTTAATCCCAGCACTCAGCACTCGGGAGGCAGGAGCAGAAGGATCTCTGAGTTTGAGGCTTGAGTTCCGGGACAGCCAGGGCGGCACAAAGAAACCCTGTCTCAAAAAAGAAAAAGAAGTTTTAAATGTTTATTGATGGTAGACCAAGAGCAGGCATGTGTTTCTGAATTCTCTTGTCATCCAAGCCCAGGGATACAAAGTTAAAAAAAAAAAAAGCAAAAACCACAAAGACCATAATTTACATCAAATTTAGATGAGGGTCATAGTAACCTTGAATCATTTATGCTCCTGGAAGAGCATAGTAATCATTTCAGACATAGCATGACAATTAACTTTTTGTTTTTGAGACAGTTTCTCTGTGTAGCCCTGGCTGTCTTGAAACTTGCTTTGTAGATCAGGCTGGCTTCAAACTCACTTAGATCCCCCTGCTTCTGCCTCCGTAGTAATGGGAATAAAGGCATACACCACCATGCCCAGCTGACAATTTTTCTTTATATCTTCTTTAGTTATTTTAATCATTTTGGCTAATGTAACTGGACCGTGGTCGAGGCCATGGAAATCTCAAATGTGTCGCCAAGGCAAACATGTTGAGGATAGAAGGCTGAGAAATGACCAGGCAGACACAAACAAAATATAGATAGGACAGGTTGGCATTCTCTTGATCATTTCAGTGGTGCTCAGAAGATACCTGGGTGGGTCACTGACAGATTTGTTGTGATTTGCTAGTATTGCTTTTCTTTAAGGACAACTCTTTATTATCTTCATTTGTATGAGTGTGTTGCCTGTCTGTGGCTGTGCAACATGCCCACCTGGCGCCTGCAGAGGCGTCAGATTCCCTGGAGCTAGAGTTACAGATGGTTGTAAGCCACCATGTGGGTGCTGGGAATTGAACCCAGGTCCTCTGGAAGAGCAGCCTCTACTCTTAACCACCGAGCCATCTTTCTAGGCTGGTTGAGATTTGGTTTTTTTTCTTTTTTCTTTTTCTTTTCTTTTTTTCTTTTTTTTGGTTTTCTTTTTTTTTTTTTTTTTAAGGCAGGGTTTCTCTGCATAGCCCTGGCTGTCCTGGAACTCACTCTGTAGACCCTGGCTTTGAATTCGGAGATCTGGCTACCTCTTCCCGCTCCTCCTCCCCTGTGCTAAAATTAAGGGAGAGTGCTACCACTGATTGGGGTTGCTTTTCTTTTTGTAACAGGGTTGGTGTTCTGCCTTCATAGTTCAGGGATCATAGGCATGCATTCATATGCGGCTAGTTTGAGTTTTGTTTTTGAGACAGTCTCATATAGTCCGGGCTGCTCTTAACTCCTAGTCCTCCTACTGCACCTCCCCTGAGCTGGGAGAACAGGTGTACATCATTACTATTATTATTATTATTATTTTTGTTTTGTTTTTCGAGACAGGGTTTCTCTGTGGCTTTGGAGGCAGGTGTACATCATGACACCTGTCATACTCTAGCAAATTATTCCACAGGGTCACTCCCTTGCTTTGGGGATATGTGTTGGGCATGTGGGTTAGCACTGGGCCCTTGAAGGACACTCTCTGGTCCTAGTAGGGGACAAGACAAACAAGAGGGTTGGACAAGAAAAATTTTAAGACCCTTCTCCTCAGTATGGCAGGGAAGAATCTTTTGGGAGAGGGCTGTTTACTGGGACACTACTGTTTCAAGAGTCACCTTCAGGGGTCCTCAGGTGAAACTCTCAGGGAGAACTGGAAATAGGGGCGGGGAACCGTTCCTGTCTCCGAACCGCAGCCAGCGGAGACCCGAGCGGAGAGCCAAGGAAGAGAACCACGGCATGATCCCTAGGGCTGACCTCGGGCCTGGGGACAGAGGTGCGGGGTGTCGCCGTAAGAGGGTGGAGTTTCTCGGCCAATCAGCCCCATTTATCAGCACCCTCGGGCGCAGGGAACTCTTCGGAGCGGGCCAGGGATTCCACACCGGCCTCGAGCAGCGCAGAGAGGCGAAGACGACAGCTGGCCGGACGTGGGGAGCGCGGCACTGTCCCCAGGCGAGCAGCCCTCGAGGCGCCGTGGGGAGGAGGGTTGGGGGAGGGGGGCAGGCGAGCCGGCGGAAGGGCCTAGGCGTGTGGGCGGGGCCGCGCGCCGCGGCCAACGCGCGGCTCTTGGGGGTGGAGGCGGCGGAGCCTGCAAACGAGAAAGGGGCGGGGGCGCAGAGCGACGCGCTGGAGGGGCGGGGGCGGCGGGGAGGGGGACTCGGCTGCGTGTGCCGGAGCCGGCGGGGGCGGCGGTGCGTGCGCATGACGCGGGGGGAGGGCCCGGGCCGCGCGCTCCCGGTCCCGTTGTTGTCGCCGCTGGAGGCATCTCCGAAGCGGCGGGATCTCAGCCCTGGTGAGCGCAAGGCGGCGGCCCCAGCGTGCGCGGCCGCGCCTTCTGGCCTCGGCTCCGGGCCTCATGCTCTAGTCCGGCGCCGCGCGCTTCACAGTTCAGGTCCCGCCAGCCCCGCGCGCCCGCTCGCCGCCGCCGCCGCGCCGTCCCGGGCCCTAGGTGGGCCCGCCTCGGGCCCCGCGGCTCCGGAGCCATGAACTTCCAGGCGGGCGGGGGCCAGAGTCCTCAGCAGCAGCAGAGCCTGGCGGCACCGGGGGGCGGCGGCGGCGGCGGCGGCGGAGCGGGGGGCGGCGGGCAGTTCGGCGGCGCGGGGCCCGGAGCCGGGGGTGGCGGCCCCTCGCAGCAGCTGGCCGGCGGACCCCCCCAGCAGTTCGCGCTCTCTAACTCGGCCGCTATCCGGGCCGAGATCCAGCGCTTCGAGTCGGTACACCCCAACATCTACGCCATCTACGATCTGATCGAGCGCATCGAGGATCTGGCGCTGCAGAACCAGATCCGGGAGCACGTCATCTCCATCGAGGGTAAGCGGAGCTGGGGGCCGCGGGAGCTGGGGGCCGCGGGAGCTGGGGGCCGCGGGAGCTGGGGCGCGGTGTCCTTTGCAGCGCTGGCCGGAGAACTGCACGGCCGCGGCCCGGCCCCTCTCTGGCGCTTAGGGGTGTTTGTGAAGCCGAGCTTCGCGCTGCAGAGCCCCGGTCCAGGTTTTTCCATGTCTCATCCAGGAACATTTATTTTTTGGGGGGTGGGGGTCCTGTCTTGAGCTAGTGGACACGTTTTTTTGTTTTGCTCTTCGAGACCCGGGATGAGAAGGTGGTGTTGCTCCAAGGGTTGGTACACTCTGAATCGCCAAAGACCGCAGGGCCTTGGGGCCACATCTGGACAGGCATGGCTGGGGCTGGTGGGCTCGACGGAAGACCTTGGTGGGTCGTGAAAAGGTGGGGCGGATGCTCGGGAACAATCTCAGCGGCTGCCCTGGCCCTGACTGGCAGTAGGGGTGGAGGATCAGAGCCTCCGGTTAGTGGATGGCAGCTTTCCTGGGCAGCTCCCGCAGGCTTCGGAGGGTGGCGCTCCCCGCGGCTCCCTCTCCCGACGCACACCCACCCCCACGCTTCTGCGGCCCGGCGGGCGCGGGCCTGGTCTGGCGCAGGGCTGGGGAGCTGTGGCCGCGTGGGAGGCGCTGGATGGTCTCTCTGCGCGCTGGCAGTGTCCTCTAACCACCAGGACATTCATGCCTGCTTACCCCGGGGCTACCGGATGCTGACTGACCTCCAGGGAGGTCGGGCCTGGATCTACGAACTATAAACCCCAAACCATTCGCTGCTCCTAACAATGCTCCTTTCTGTGGGCACTTGGGCCTTGAACTCGGGCCGCATGAGGGCACATTAATTGGGAACACACTGCTCGTAAGAAGCCCCACGACCTCTGGTGTAGGGAGGCCCGCTGGCAGTAGCAACAGGCACCCCAGTGGCAGTGTTGACCTTCTAGCTAGCTTGGACAGATGGGCCTCGCCCTGGTCCATCTGCTTCCTTTTCCAACTCTGCTTGCAGGAGGACGCCCACAAGCAGGAGGTGGGTTCTGCCTTGCTGGCAATGCAGGGAGAGCCAAGGCCAGTTGCTGCTGACATGGAGTGGAGAAGGGTATGCCCACTCTTTGGGCCTTACAGCTCAGATCCTGTTCCCATCTTGTGTGAGGTTTTGGAGCCCTGTGGACTTGAACATCTCTGTTTTTCTTTTTTAAGGTATCCTTAGCTGGTGAGTGCTGAATCTTTTGTGAGTAGAGCCACCCCCTATCCCCTTAGATCTATCTTTTGTTGTAACACTCCCTTCTGACTTCCTCTTGGTCTTTTCCCAGCCTGCTTTTTTCTGGTCCCTCTCAAAGCAGAGTTCACTGTGAACTAATTAGGTGACAGACAAAACTCATTAGCATGGATTTGAGTAAATGACCTGATTCATTGCTGTGGCTGGAGATTGGGGGGTGGCATTTGTGTGCGGCCAGGGTCTTCAGAAGAAATTCAGTTTTTTTCTTAGATTCAGTGAGGGTGAGGCCAAAAGAAACCGTTCTCTGTGTTTCCCTGTTCCTGGAGGAAGTGTGAACTCCCAAGATGATTGCCCCTACCTTTTTGGGAGGGTGAAGCAGCTTACTGGATGGCCACCAGTGTGTGGGGTTTTTTTGATTGTGTGTGTGTGTGTGTGTGTGTGTGTGTGTGTGTGTGTGTGTGTGTGTGTGTGTTGGATACCAGACACTTTCCAGGGCAGGGAGAAGACAGGCTGAGCGGGCTCCATATCTAATTCCTGCTTATTAGTATTATTAGTGACTCAAGTCACCCCTACTCACATAACAGATTGAGCATCTTCTGTGCAAGTCACGGTCCTGGGAAGAACTTGGTTTGGTTTTTATCTCTGTCTTAAGTTCAACATGATAGACAGCATTTCCCCTTCATGGAGGCCTCCCCCAAACTAACTTCCCCATTGTGGTTTGGAAGTACCCTACCATTTCATCTGCTTAGCCTGGAAGATTTGTGTCACCATCATGAAATCCTGGGACCTGATGATCACTGTCACCAGACTGACTCAGCTGCTCCCCAAACAGCAGTCTCAGCTCTGTTGTCTCCTCCCTATCCCTGCTACCCTGCTGCCTGGAGAAGCACCCTAGCACCTCCTGTCACCTTCCCCTTCCAAGCTTCTCCTGGGAACCCTTTTTTAACCCCATCCTGCTGACTTTCACACTTCTAGTGCCCCAGCTTTTCCACTGTAGGCAAGCTACAAAAAAAAAAAAAAAAAAAGCCCAAACCCAACCAACTAGACTCCTTCTCCAGTGTTTAGCCCTGTAATGCTTCCTGCGGTACAATTTTCCATCTGCTTAGCCATATTAATCTGTCCTATAAGGTGGTGTTCCCACCTTGCCCAGAGTAGGGAGATGGTAGCGTCTTGGGCTTTTTCTGTTGGGACTGACCCTAAGCCCAGCAGACCTAGGTAGGCTGTTACATAAACACAGAACTGCCAGGAGCCTCGGCTTCAAGTCTTGAGCTCCCTTGTGCAAAGGCTGACACTTCACCTCGCTTCAGTTAATCTTTGGTGAAGGGCTTACCGGTCTTATCTATCGGAAGGTGACTGCTAGAACCATTTAAAACATTAAAATTCTTTTTCTAGTCAAGAGAGAACACCTGCCCATCACTAGGCCCCAGGGAACGAAAGAAGCACCGACCCGGAGCCAGCATTCTGGAAGATGTACTGCAGCCGATGCTCAGCCTCTCCAGTGAGAAGCAGGCTCAGAAGGGAGGGGCCAATCCTAATCCAGCCTGACACCTGGCTTGCCATCAGCACACCTCCCAGGGAAGATTTCTCCCAACTTTCACCGGTCTCCTGGCTGTCCTAGAAGCAGAATGCAGGGACACCAGGGCTTCAGTTGATGGCAGTGAGTAGGGCCAGGTAGACCCTAGACCTAGCCATCCAGCATCCCAGAGAAGGTATTGGGAGAAGCAGCTCCAGTGCTTTAGGAAGGCACCCTTGAGCAGGTGTACGGCTGCAGGGTGTGGGGCAGCAGGGCCTACAGCCAAGCTCAGTTTCCGGTTTGGGCTCTGGGCCTGTAAGTGGACAGTGCTTATGTGTGCTTGCCGTATGGCTACTATTGTGTATGCAGGAGCCCAGCTTCGCCTGCTGCATGCAACCCCCTGTTTTTCCTGGGTTAGTGTTTCTCAAGAGAGGGCAAAGTTCCTTTGAACATTCCTGTCATCTCCGTGGATTGTTCTCGGCCTCATTCATGTAGTTCCCACTCTGCCTGCCTTCCTACCCAGAGTGTGGGTTAAGTGTTATCCCAAAGGAACCGTGAGGAAGAGATATGGGCTTCTTCCTGTTTACTTCAGGCCTCTGCTAGACAGAGAAGGGGCCAGGTGGATTGGGAAAGCTTAGAGGAAGCAGGAAGAGGGTTCCAACCACAGTCCCCGCCTGACTCACTTGGGTGTTATGACTACATTTTCCCATTGTCCTGTGATTTTTCATACCATATCCCTGCCATAAGGAAAGGACATGGAAGCTAGTTCCACTTAGAGACAGGAAACTCCTGAGCTCCTAACTTTACTGATTGTTCTGGATAGTCTCCACCTTGCCAGGGTTCTCGCTTGCGCAGATCCCAAGCAAGGCTTTCCCCAGAGGCCCAACTTGCAGGTCAGGAATGGACTGGAACCTACATCTGTCACTGTGTAATTTCTACAGTTAGCTATTTTTGTGGGGAAGGCCTATTAGGGGCATGTCTGCTTATGTAGGACTTTGCACACAAGGGTTCTAGGAATTCTAAAAAAGAGGATACCCCTGTGGGGTGCTGGTAGGCAGTAAAAAGTGTATTTGTTCCCAATCTGTCTTTTTAACTCCTACTGGGTGGCCCAGTTGCGGCTGGGACCTCAGAACACTGGAGAACAAAGATGGAAGGAGAGGAGACAGTAATGGTTGGGCCCAGCTGCCCTGGGGATGGCTGGGTAGGCACCGGGGATGGGAGCAGTGAAGTTGGGTTTTCTGAAACCAGGGTAAAACTGGGAGACCTGCTTCAGGGCTAAAAGGGACACGTGGAGACTTTCAGACTCCATGACCTCAGGAAAACCTCCTTCATTCTGTTGGCTCCAGGGTCAGTACTTGTTGATACCGGTCATCAGAGAAGCCGTCTTTGCCTCAAGTGCCACCTGCTGTCCTCCCTTCCTGCTACCGTTTCCCTCAAGTATGAGCTGCCTGTGGTAATGGGGAGGGCGTCCCACCCAGAGGGGCAGCGTTGTGTTGGGGGTGTCTGAAAACGGATGCGTGGTATTCAGGGCGTATAGCAAGTTGATCTTTGCGGCTAGACTCTGTGTCCATAGGGGACAGATGGGTGAAGGGGGCAGGACCCTGGGGAAGGAAATTTATTTAATTGAAAAAAGAATCTTTTTTCATACAACATATTTTGATCACGTTTTACCCCTTCTTCAATTCCTCCCATCCTCCCTCCTTCTCTGTCCACTCAAATTATGTTCTTTTTCACTCTTTAAAAAAAAAAAGAAACAGACACACACACCCTACCCAAAAAAAAACCCTATAATATACAAGTAAAAGATTAATAAGACAAAATTAATAAGACAAAATTCCCAAACGAGGCAAGGCAAAATGTCTGCAAAAATACCATTGAGTTTGTTTTGTGTTGGTCAATTACTCCTGGGCCTGGGGCCTGCTTGAAGTGTGGCTAACATACTCCATTGGTGAAAACTTATTTTCCCTTTTCCAGGGAATATCAATTGTAGGTAGCTTTTTTGTTGTTGGTGGTGGGGGTTGTTTTTTGTTTGTTTTATTTTGCTTTTTGTTTTTTCAAGACAGGGTTTCTCTGTGTAGCTTTGGAGTCTGTCCTATAACTAACTCTTGTAGACCACACTGGTTTCAAACAGAGATCCGCCTGCCTCTGCCTCCCAAGTGCTGGGACTAAGGACGTGCGCTATCACTGCCCGGCTGTAGGTAGCTTCTTGGCTAGGGTGGGAGCCTGTGTCTACTTCCTCCTCTCAGCATGGGGA